ACACGTGTGCTGTTTTGTTGGAGCTCACCCGATCTAAACCCGAAACAACCCGACCTTTCCAATGCCCTCTGGGTACGTCTAGGTCTGTAATCGTGCTTCTGCAATGCCAGCAATGGTACTGCATGCATTCTCCTTCGCCTTGTTAGAACAAAGCTGCTCAATGGAGCCATGAAGCTGACCTCCGACTGTTACATGCAAGTCGGCGATGTAAAGCACAACTTTTTCAAGCACAAGTGGTGAAGCTCTGTTTGCGTGACACCCACTACACACACTCTGATGTAGCACGACTTGATATGCTTGCCTTGGCTGATGTTCCAAGATACTCTTGAGACAGTACGTGCATCGATGGGACCATACTGATCGCATGAAGCTACCTGGAACTAGGCAGGCTTTGAGCTGGTTTCGGCCACACGTCCTTGATCCTTGTCAGCCAGCACTGATGTCTGGCAACTAAGTTAGCGGTCCCAGTTGCGAAGAAGATCCGGACTCGAACAATACCAACATAACAAGTCCGTGCAAGAGGTTCAGGTCGAGTTTGATGCCCTTTCAGATTTATTTGCTGCCAGGTGCTTGCAGCAACTGGGATCTGCGGTGGCTTTCTGTCCTTGAACTTCCATTCTGCCGCAGCCTCGTTTCTGGAAGGGACCGGACAAAGGGTGTGGATATCCTTGCTTCGACCTCTTGCTCCTAAGCTATTTTGCAGTAGTTCGTCGTTGACCACGACCTAAGACGAATGGAAGAAAACGTCATGAAATTTCGCGGATGTTCGCAGCTTGTTCATTGTTCTTCGGCCGCGAGGGCCTGGATGACCAAATTCGACGAAATATAAGATGAGTATTCGTATCAGATTTGGTCGATTCGGAAAATTTTTCTAGTTGAATTATGCATAGATGCTTTTATTTCAACATCACTTTAGTGTATTTCTTCAACCTTCCGCTCTAGACTAATATTAATTATCAAAATTATTTTCCTACGAAAATGCGACTAAATTCAAATCCTCATTTATATCAATCAGAATCCCATGGGAATCCATCAAGATGCCTTTCATGAGATTCTGACCGAAAGCTCATGAAAGATGCCTTCTGGCCCACACTATTGATCGTGAAAATTAAATCTTAAACCCTACACCATAGGGTTTTATGATCCTGGGATCATAGGCCCATATTTATTAGTATTATTTCTGAATTGAATTTAAATATTTATCTTGATTATAAGATTATGATTCGATATATATTGAATAATATATTTTTTTCTTCGATATTTAATATAGAAATGAAAATAATTTTCTATATATAGTTTATATATTATCTTTATGTAAATTATATAGATATTATTTAATAGAGTATTATATATTATAGAGAGTTTTATTTTATAATTTAATTTGATCTTATAAATTAGTTTTCTATTCTTTCTTTTTTATTGCTCGAGATTTTGATATCTGCTTGATTATTTTGATTAGTTATAAATAAAATTTTAATAATGAGGATTACTTATATTCATCTAATTTGCTTCATTATTTTCGTATTGTTTGGGATTATATTATTTATATTTTTCTCAAAATTATGCCATCTATTTTAATATCTTCTCATTTGCCTCTAGATTAAATATTTTTCTCTTTAATTGAATATAATGTTCCCGAGCGATAATAAAATATAATATTGATGTAAATGAATTCTATGGTTGTATGATTAAGGTCGAAAATTAAATGCGTAATTTGATAAGAAACATCGATAATCGTAGAAAAGAATATTGCCGCTTGATATCGAAGGCGTAGGAAAGAATTTCTTGCACTTATAAAGAAGATGGGAATCTCTTACATATTCTTCGATTTGATATATGGCAATTTGCCCAAAATATTAGGACTATTCCGAGGATAATCATGATCAACTTTAGAAGGATCTTATTTTTTTTATAAATTTTGGGATGAGCGTGCGATCGGTCATTAATAAAAATATAAAAATTAAAAATTCTCTATAATTATGATATCTTTTTTTCTTTGGTCGTCTAGATTTTATAACGAATATATCATATCTTCTCATATTTCTATTTTATAATTTAGTTTTATATATGCTGCTTGCCACGTTTCAGACAAAGACATGGTGGCGATTTTATTGCTTTCTTTATTCTTTTTGGCATCTTATGAAATTATTAATTATATATATGAAAATCCTAATTAATTGATTTATGAAAATATATAAATAAATCAAATATCGAATAAATGGATTTCATTATATGAAATCATAATATTCAAGGCAAGGTAGCATATTTTCAATAATTTTAATTTTTCATATTCGTGCTTCGGCATGGCCTTATATTTGATATGCAAATCCTCAAAATTGGCTATATATCATTTCTTGGAATATTATTCTATAGATATCGCATATATATAGCATAATACAAGCTAACCAAATTTATTTCAAAAATATTTGAATCAAATTCTAATATTGGCTCCAGGCTTTCCATATTCCCATATTGAATATATATATATATATATGCCTCGAAAAGATAGCTCTCATTATAAATAGATTCATCATATCTAAATATATCCGCAAAGTCTTCTTCCCCCGATGCCACGTCTATTTCATCGATCTCGTCGTGATTGCTCTGGTGCACGGGGAATGAGGGAGAGAGCTTAATGGCTCCATTAGGGCCCAGGGCACGACTGAAAACAGAATTCACGAGAAGAAAACGCGCGTATGATTGGTCGAATTGCTCTTGCTTGATTTTGTTGGGGGGGTCTTTGGGGCCGGAGGCTCCGGACTGTCTATCTATACTTAGCGCCTCCCCATTGTATATATTCGCAAGTCCTATATTTATATCTACAAACTCTTCGGGCTCCATCTTGATTCTGATGCCTGCGGGTGGGACGTTGGGGCCAGGAATGTTGTTGTGCTGCTCTACGGGGATCGCGGCTTGGGGACGGCGAATTGCTTCATATAGCCAAGCTTGCTCTGAATCGATCCTATTCTGATAATCGGGGGGGCACTGGATTATTACGCTTGTAATTGGAAAATATGGGCTTGCTCATCTGAAAGAATGTCCTTGAAATATAATGAAAATCGAATCATACTTTTAACTTATTCGGGGAGGAATCGAATGAATATGAAGGCGCGACCGAAGATTATGGAGATATTATATTTGAGTATAGTACGGGTGTCTGCATCGGAGATATAGTCGATCGTTAGACGGACGATGCTGATGAAATGAGAGTGGACAATAATCTACGAAGGTATATGGGGGATATTGTTCTTATTGAATGAATTATCGATGATGATATGGAATTGAAGCTATATGGAATTGAAGCATATCTATTATTCTTCGAGAATATCTTTCGTTTCGTCTATATTATAAAATCTTCTGTTTTTCTTGGTGGACTCATCCGAAATTTTCCTATCGTTATCTAATGCCGGAATAATCTTATTAAAAGGCAATCCTCGGAAGAAATCGAAATCTGATGAACTTCTGATTGAATTCTGAATGCCATGGCGAGCGTGCGTGCCAGTGGCGTCTTTCTTTTCCTTGATTTTTCGACTCTCTGCACGAAAAACGGCTCGAAATCCTGCATGGTCAGGTCGTATCCAATAATGAATAAAATTAAAGATTCGTCGTTTATAAGGTTGCCAAATGCTCGCTGAAAAAAAAAATTCAAGCCATTCCTTGATTAGTGAATCTTCCCGATTGACTTGCCTGAGAATCTAACGAAATTATCTCAACTCACCTTTGTCCTGCTCATCTTCGTTAATAATGAAATCCAGCCCTGTATCCTACTCCTCGTCATTCGATGAGTCCAAAATCGATAATGAGCCGGTCGTTTCTTCCTTTATATTTGTTATAGTTATATTATATCATTGAGCCAATCTTTTGAACGAACAATCTATATAAATCAGATTCATCTAATTATATAAAATATATCATTCGATAAGGCTCTCGCTTGAGAGTGAAAAATATCTATTTTGAGTACTGCCCATTTGCTCCAATACCTATTGTAGAACTTTGTATTCCACGAGTTTAGTCTTCCTGTCCCACGCGATTTCATAGTCCGATTACTGCCTAGACAGCGGCCCCGGAGTATTTGGCTTAGCCAAGGATATATTCCGTAAAAATAAAAATCTTATTATTGAATTGCGGAATGAAGAAATACTATGATTTGAACTCGAAGGATAGAGATCTTTTCAAATATAAAGAATGCTTTGATATTAATATATCTATATATCAAATCATATATATATATATTATTTTAATTCATCATCTATATTAAAAACTAATATCAAACCGCATTTAAATAATCATATTCATTCAAGTAACTCTCGTATCAGAAGATTTTTAATATTAGTCATCCCAGTTAATAAGATCCATTCCTTTATATTCATGAATCTCATATAGAACCATATCCAGAATATTCTCCGTTTTTCTCAAAAGCCCTGCACTCCAAGCAACTCCGTGCCTATTCAATGAGCGCTTCGGCGCTCGGCTGGAAGGAAAATATGCAGCGATGGGTTAAGTCAAATGATTCTGTCTCTTGCCGCCTGCAAAATCCTAGCTCTTTGAGCTTCAGACCCCATGAAATTGTCATTACCTGTTAACGCAGTATATATGAGGGCATTGGTGATGTGAAACCATTGCTGTCTGGGGCGGCCTACTCTGCGGGTTCCGATTAAGCAAGGGTTTGCGTTATCAGGTTGATAACTTATCTATCTTATTAGATCTGCCGAGTTGTTACATAATACATGCCCAGCAAGTTTCATTCGCTTGTGTTCTATTATTTTGCTAAACGAAATGATTTCTCTGCCTGTAATTGCAGAGGTCTTCTCGAATAACTTCGCACTGGTATTCCTACGATCAATATATGTAGATATCAATCTAAGTATTTTGCGAAGACCTTTGTGGTGAAATATATTAATTTTCTGTACTAAAGATTTTGTCAGATGGATTATTTCGAGTCCGTAGAGCAGTCTACTTCTGATAATAGCATCATATATCAAAAATTGCCTGGAATTGAGGCGCAGTTAGAGACGGAGTTGGGGGTTCCCATGGGTCCCTGCTGAAGGAGGGTGGGGGTTCCCATGGGTCCCTGTTGGGGGAGGGTGGGGATTCACATGGGTCCCTGCTAGAGCTGCCTAATCTCTCCAATATTCATGAAGCTTTAACCATGTCCTCTTTACATCAACAATCCGTTGGATGACTTCATGACGGATATTTATTGTATGATTCAAGTTATTGCCTAAGTAGACTGCATCTTGCGCTTTAAGTAGTAATGTGTGATCTGAAAAATATATAACTGCCTCTTTGTTTATGTGCAAGACACAACATTTTGTCCTATTCAATCGTAGGCCGTATTGCTCTGAAAACTTTTCCACATAACTGATGAGCTCATTAAGTGCACGTGTTGAAGTGGAGAATAGAATGATATTATCTATATAAAAAATACTATTGGAATCAAGGCCCGGGAGTCTAGTATTATATACAAATCCAGAGCAATATCGACCTATATCCTTATCTATGCACGTCATAACCAATAAAAACAAGTATAGCGACAAAGGACATCCTTGCCTAATTCCTATTTTTTGAATTTTAGTAGATGAAATACCGTAATCATCTTCAACGAAAAACGTAGGGCAAGAATATATATATTGCGAATAGTATTTATATATTTGTTAGTGAAACCGATATTTCCAGCGATTGGAATAATTTATTGTGCTATACCTTAGCAAACGCCTTCTCCCAATAT